TTCTAATGAGCATTGTCTCAGTTACTTTTTTCATTGCTGAGACAAAATACCCTACATCTAAAGTTAAAAGGGGAAAGCTTTATTTAGTTCAAAGTTTGTGGAGGTTTCAGTCCATAGTCAGTTGGCTCCGGCGCAGTGTGGTGCATGGCAGAGGATCAACAGTTCATGCAGCAGAAGACAGCAAAAGCAACAAGAGAGAGAGGAAGCCTCCGTCAGGCCATCGTATTGTATGCAGGTCACTGTCCCTAGGGTGGGTGTAGCACTCACACCCATAATCCCAGCACTGGGCCAGGAATCAATCACAAACTGTAGAAGCCTGCTCCCATGACTGCATGAGGCTTTGAGGGGGCACCAACACAGATACCATAGCAAGTATAAATAATGATCATATCTTTAAGTTCTATGGCACTGTCTTAGCTTTGGCTGACTATGGCTTGAATGTACTTTCAGGCCTTAATTCATTCTGAGTTCTTTATTTGAACTTTACTTGGGTTCTATCCCAGGCCCAGGTCCTGGCTGGGCCTCTGTCCATATCTTGTGTTTTCCCTTTTAGTCAGTGCCCTCGGCAGGCACATGTCACCTGCCCATGGGACTTCTCTGCTCCCCAACACATCTCCAATGTCTTCAACCATTCTCCAAAGACTTGATTTCTGAGTCCCTCGTCACCCTGTTCTTGGAAGATTTCTGGTTCATGGCCTAGATGGCCTCTAACTAGGGCAAACTATAGGAAGGCATGGCCCAGACTCTAGCATCAAGCCGGGGGTATAGCTCAGTGGCACAGCACCTGCCTGGCAAATGCAAGGTCATGAATTTAATTCCTGGTACCTATAAACAAAACAAAATAAAACAAACAAACAAACTGAACTCCACACTCATAGAACCGCAATTTGAATTATTTTTCCCCTGTTCTCGCCAGGTTTTTTTTTTTTTTGCAGGGAGGGGATTGAACGCAGGCCTCAGCCTCACTTACCCAGGCTGGGCAACTTGCTGTGCTGCTGTGCTGCCTCAGCCTCCCAGAGTGCTGGATCACAGTGTGTGTCACCACACTCTCCCCTTGACCACATGCCTAAAGGACCTCATTTTGATGGCTCTCATGCATTTGCTTCGGGCTACAGAGGGGAGACTTGTGATGCTGGTTGATCTCCTGGTGATGTGATGACAGTGTACCTAAGCCATCCTTAGGTCTACCGAGTCCTGCTAGAGAAAACACAGAAACATGCTTTGTACCGTTAGAGATACTAGTCAGGCCATGTTTTCTATTCTCCTGCTTCTTCTCAGCAACAGAGATTTCCTGAGCTGCATCTTTGCAGTCCACAGCTTTCTTGGAGCTTCCTTTCTGACCAAACTCACAATGTTTTAAATCATCCTGCTGGGCTCTTTGCTCTTGATTTGCAACATAAATCTGGCTAAAAGTCCCCAACATTAGCCATGCCACAGCCTCGACATTTGGCTGCCTTGAAATTTCTTCTGCCAGATTAATTAGTCTGCAGCCCTCAATCTGCAAATTCAGACAAACTTTCTGCCAAACTATAACACACATCATCTGAAGTCCAGCACCCAATGGAGTCCTTCCCAGCGGAAATCTCCCAAGCCTGGTCTTTACTGGTTTTCTGGTCTTCTGAGCTCTGACTAGAGTCTCCCATAAGAACAGCCTAACGTGTTCTAGCTCTACACTTTCAGGTGAAATCTCTAAACCTTTCCAAACTCTTCCCACAAGCCATTCCCAAAGGCTCTTGGACCACATGGTCAGATATAGTCACAGTGAAGACCCCACACCACTGTACCAAATTCTGTCTTGGTTACTTTTCTCTCTTTGCTGGGACAAAATACCTGACCCCAAAATGAAGGAAGAAAAGGTTGACTTAGCTTACAGTTTGTGGAGGTTTCAGTCTATAATCAGCTGGCTCCAAGGCAGGGTTGCATGGCACAGAGGCAACACTGCCAGGCCACAGCCAGCAAAAGCAGTCAGAGCAAAAAGGGGGGAGAATAAGCTCTTCTCCTCCCTTCTATTGCAAGCAGGGTACCACCTCTTACAGCAGGTATAGTACTCATACCACCTCTGTTCCCCAGAGGTGTGGGGTACTGTTACAGGGGTTGTATTTGGGTCCCCTCCTCAACTTTGTCATTTTCTTTTTGGTTTTGTTTTTTGAGTCCTGCTATGTAGTTTAGGTTGGCCTTGAAATCATTATGTAGTCCAGGCTGTCCTCAAACTCATGGTGATCCTCCTGTCTCAGCCTTCTGAGTGCTGAAGCCTTCACCACAGCACTGGGCTTCTCAACTCTTTTTCTTAATGTGGGATAAGTTCACTCTTTGACCTGGGCAGAGACCTTGTTCCCTTCTTCCTCTGGATCTCTTCCAACAGTGCAGAACACAGCTCCACAGGCCCGTGCCTTATTGGCCTCAGGGAGAGTCGAGTGTCCCTCAGGGGCCTGGATGAGAATCACAGCATTGAACCAATCTAAATGCTGCGGTGTTTGCATTCAGCCTCACCTCGCTGTCATTTTGCAACTGAATCCTCATTTAATTAGGTGCAACCTTCAAAAACACCTGTGCTGGAGGTATTGGCATGGGCCGTAGCCACATTTTGGGGAGTGAGGTGAGAAACAGTCTCATCTTCTTGCTTCTGATTACACAGAGTGGTTTGCAGAGTCAGGACGTGAAGTCAGTTCTGTAGACACCGAATTGAGGACAAGATCACACACCCTTTTTCAGAGATTCCACTGCATGCAAGATAAGCCCTTACCTGGCCACCTAGGGGAAAGAACCCTTGATGGGCTGTTTATCAGGTCCTTGCTATGTGCCATCCTTCACACTATCATTTCCTCCCGTCACCTTCAGTGCTGGATATTTTTATTACCACATTACAGATGTGGAAACTGAGCTTCAGACAGTAATGGGAAGCAGCATGCATGCTGACAGCTCACTCAAGCACTAGCACATTAGAGTCAACACAGGAAGTGGGTGGTGAAGGTTGTCATTGCTGGGAGCCTGCACCCACGCACAGCTCTGCTGCCACTAGGTATCAGGTAGGCATCCTGCAGGGAGGAAACGGCTGCAGGTGCGGAGTGGGCACCTCGAGGTTACCGCAAGGTTCCAGCGCCCATCCGAGTGCTGAGCACCTGTCTGGGGCTGGCTGTGTGGGTAGGGGGAAGAGAGTGTCAGGTGTTTGGATCAGGTGTCTCTCTGTGGAGTGCGGCGCTGAGCCTCAGCTCGAGGGGAGGCTGGTCCGGTCGTACTGCGTCTCACTGAGCAGGGGAGCAGACGCGTGGATGCAAGCTTGCAGGCTCATATATGCAAACGACTTGCGAACGTTTCCAAAGCGCTGTGTAAAACTGTATCATGTCAGTGCAAACAGTGTGGGCCGAGTCCAGCAGTGGGGAAGGCACGTGGAGCGAGGATACACGCCACACTCTTCCACCGTGGAGCTGCATGTGAAGTGCCGGGTAAACTGTGAGGCTGAGTGGGTGACGGAAAAAAATGTGGATTTGGTTTCAAAAAGCCCAGCGTGAGGCCCAGTGCTTTTACTTTCCAGCAAAACTGTTTTCAGTCCAGACTCTACCTAATATTCTAAGACAAGCCCAGAAAGCCAAACTATGCCTCCCTGAGACAGTGACTCTCACCCTGCAGGCCAAATCACCTGGGCGCTGCAGAGTCCCAGTCAGGAGACCTAGGTGGCCCCTAGGGCTGTTCTTTTGTCTTCTTCTTCTTTTTTTTTCCTTTTTATTGGTACCAGGGATCGAACTCATGACTGCCTGCTTGCAAGGCAGGCGCTTATGCCGCTGAGCTCAATCCCCAGCCTTGTTTTCTTTCTTTCCTTTCCTCTTCTCTCTCTTCCGCTTTCTTTCTTTCTTTCTCTTTCTTTCTTTCTTTCTTTCTTTCTTTCTTTCTTTCTTTCTTTCTTTCTTCCTTCCTTCCTTCCTTCCTTCCTTCCTTCCTTCCTTCTCCTCCTCCTCCTTCTTCTTTTTCTTCTTTTTGAGGCAGGACCTCACTAAGTACTTCAGGCTGATCTTGAACTTGCTATATAATCCAGGATGACCTGGAAATCATGAGGATCCTCCTGTTTCAGCCTCCCAAGTTCTAGGATTACAGATATGTGCCACCACATCCAGCTCATTTTTTTCTTTCTTATCTTCTCCTTCTCCTTCTCTTCCTCCCTTCTACTGAGGATTGAAGCAGGACTCTTCACATTAAGTGACATCTCTGGTCCTTAAACTTTTTTTTTTTAATTTTGAGACACATCTGATTAAGTAACTAAATTGCCCAGGCTTGTTTGAAACTGATCCTCCTGCCTCAGCCTCCCAGAATCCTGGAATGAAAGGCATGTACCACCATGCCCAGGGAGAGTTTGCTTTTTAAATAAGTGTTCAATGAGACTGATCTGTGGCCTGAGAACTGCTCTTTGAGACATTGCCTTGCACATGCAGGACCCACATAAGTGGGCACATCCCTAAGTACCCATTGCCTGACATGTTATTGGCCAACCTGGAGTGCCCAACCCATCCATCGGCTCTCAGCCCTCCACACACAGAGCCATGGATGGCGCCTCCCTAACCGGTATGACGCCCGCTGGTGTTTTTCCAGCATATCTGGTTTCCCAGGGCCTCCCTCTGACACAGCTGATATCTGGACTGTGCATCCTAGACTGCTAGGCTCCTGTCCGATACCCTGTTCCTTCTCAGCCTCTACTCTAACAGGTGGGATTTAAGGTCTGCTCATTCATCTTCAGCATGTCATGTAATCCTGTCACCTGGACCATGAGCCACAGGAAGAAATATAGTTTGTATCACAACCTAGTTGGCCTCTCTGCACACAAACAAATGCATAGACAACTATCATAAGTAACAAGCACTGAGTGTGTATACTGTACTCACACTTTTCTATCTTCTCTCCCTTCCTTGCTTTTTTTTTTAATGGAGACTATGTCTTTTTTTTTTTTTTTTTTTTTTTTTTTGTCTTTTTTCTTTTTATCGGTACCGGGGATCTAACTCATGACTGCTGCTTGCAAGGCAGGCGCTTATGCTGCTGAGCTAATTCCCCAGCCCCCAATGGAGACTATTTCAGCCAAATTGAAAGCAATTTCATGGATCTACATAAAAGGCATGATCCTTGGGTTGGAGATTACGAATATAACTTCTCTGAGCCTTAGTGTCCTTGTCTATCTGCATGTAAAATTCCTGTGTGGCCAGCCTGGGCTATTATTTGTATTGAATATTTTGCAGTACACTCACCATAGGTACAAAGCACAACATGTACAGATTCATGATTTAATTAAGTTAATTAACTTACTTATTTTTTTTTTTTTGTCGTTTTCGTTTTTACTGGTACCAGGGATTGAACTCACGACTGCCTGCTTGCAAGGCAGGCGCTTATGCCGCTGAGCTAAATCCCCAGCCCCCAACTTACTTATTTTTGAGACAGGGTCTCTCTATATAGTTCAGGCTGATCTTGAACTCACTATGTAGCCCAGGCTGACCTTGACTTTGCAGTGATCCTCCTGCCTCCGCCTCCCAAATGCTATGATTACATCTGTGCATCACCGCAACTAGCGTCATGGTTTTAAAAGGGAATTTGGAAAGGAAATAACTCTAAGTGGACCATGCAGGGAGAGCTTCAGACCACCACGGGGGACCTGTGCACCTTGGAGAGGGGATGGTGAGCAGTTGGTCAGCTGGAGCAGAGAAATGTGTGGGAGGAGGACAGGAGGCGAGGTGGGCAGGTCTGAGGCTGACGGCCAGGCTGGGTGTTGGGTTCACAAGGGCCGCGACTGGGAAACACTGAAGAGCCTTCGTTACCAGCGCTGCACAGTGATGCTGGCATCCAGGCAGCTTTACTGACTCTCACTTCTAGCGAGCTTTTATTAACAGCCACTGCCAGGCTTCTGCAGTGACCAAGACAGACCAGCCAAGGAAGTTTCTGGTGAAGCCGGGGCAGCTCCTCCAATACCTTAGCGATTTGTTATTCCTCTAACTTGCACGATGCTCCAGGCAACGCACCTAGGCGCTGGGGGAGAAACAGAAACAAATCAAAATGTGACCGCTGCCCTGTAGCTGCCACTCTGCCGAGGGGAGGGGGCGTTACACACGTAAACCGCGTGCTTAGTGATAACCATGACTATAAGACAGCAAGAAAAAGAACAGAAAGCTAAGAGAGCAAGTAACACCGTGAACTCCATCTTCATAAACTAATAACCACATCCGTGACACTCCCAGATTAATTTATAGTTTACAAAGCCCCTCACGTTCTATCTCATGTGGGCTGCATTTCAGCCTGAGGAGAAAGCCAGCCAGCGGATCTTAGCCTGTTTTATTCATGAGACGGTAAATAAATAAGGTGTGAGTCTACCCAGGTAGCAGAGAATCCCGGCCTATGCCAACTGGGCACCAAGAGGGTGAGCGTGCACGCGCCCTGGGGAGGGGCAGCCAGCCTCCTGCATCCAGAAGAGCAAAGTCAGAAACCAAATGGCAGGAAGGTCATCTTCCCCGTTTTCCGCCCTCGGAGCCTCCAGGATAGGCTAGCGTGAGGAACAGAAGTGGTTAGAGGCTCGGCCTTGGGTGGCCCAGAGTAGGGCAGGCAGGCCAGAATGGCCTGGAAAGCAGAGGCACGAAAGGCCCACAGCACGAATGGGACTGTGGCCTCATCAAAGGCAGCCGCCCCCCTCCCGGCAGTGAAAGTGAACGGGCCCAGGCGGAGGTGACAGGCCAGCGAAACTCCCTACCGCATTCACCTCCGAGGTTAGGGACACGGCAGGGCGGCCCACCTGCCAGTATCAGCACCTCGATCACAGAGCTCGTCGGAGAGAGGTTTCCGAATGACTGGGCCCTGCTGCCCCAGAAAGGAAGCGTTCTGGGCTGCAAGTGCGGGCCAGGCACTTGAAAGTGGGTAAGTGATGACACAGCAGTGGGGGACAGGGCTGCTGACGCTGTGGGACCCACCCTAGAGAGAGCAGAGACAGAGCGGCCACCTGGCCTGCCTCGCCCGCAAAGGCTGGTGATGGGAAATCCCACTGATTCCCGCCAGCCACAGCAGTGTCCAACTCGAGGTGGCTTGGTGCTTTACAGCCTGCGTAATTGGGCTCAGATTTGGCATTTCTGTAAATGTCGATAATTACAGAATTCCAAATCCAGTCCTGCCAGTCCCCTCTGGTGACACGGACTGCGATCATCTTCCCTCGCCCAGCCTCCACGCCTCTGTGAGGTCTGCAGCTGGAATCTGGGTAGCTCCTACCTTGCATCGCTGTGTGAGCCAAACTTAGACATCTCCAGCCACACGGCATCACCCCCTCCTCAACAGGCCCACCTGCCTTGGCTTGGTTGAGCATTTTAGCTGTATTTCTTACTTTTTACCCTTGCAGTTTTGTGGTGCAGTTTATGGACTACATGCTCTTACTGGAGTACGGAGCCTTTGCTGGTAAGGCCACTTAGGGTTTATCTTTCCCTTCACTTCTCTGAAGCTTTTTAGCAGGTGCTCAGTAACCGTATTTGACTGACTGGATGAATGAAGGAAAGCGTGGGTGGGGAGGGCACAAGAGTGGACCGTCAGAGGAGAGGTGGGAGGTCAGGAGGAGGGCCTGCAGTGGGTCTCCTTGCAGTTTTCTGGGGTCTGGCCCTGCAGCGCTCACACTGGGGCTGTGGCAAGGTCAGGAGCTTGGAGGTCAGCTTCGGTCCTCAGCAGTTCAGTGATGGGCATTCGGCAAGGCCCTGTGTTCCTCCTCGTGTGTGAGTGCTGTAATCCTGCCCAGAAAGGCAGCTGTGAGCATCGCCAGGGCCTCAGTGCACAAAAACACCCAGCACACACAGGTGCTCAGTAAGCCCTGCTGATGGGTCATCCAGGGGAGGGTCGTTCTGTCATTTTTGCCAAGCCTCCTTTCCTCCTCCCTCTCCCTGTCAGCGCTGGGAACTAAACCCAGGGCCATTATGGCCCCAGTCTTGTTGTATTTTTATTTTGTTATATATATATATATATATATATATATATATATATATAGAGAGAGAGAGAGAGAGAGAGAGAGAGAGAGACAGAGAGAGAGAGAGACAGAGAGAGACAGAGAGAGAGACAGAGACAGAGAGAGACAGAGAGAAACAGACAGAGAGAGACAGACAGACAGAGAGACAGAGACAGAGAGACAGACAGACAGAGAGAGACAGAGACAGAGAGAGAGACAGACAGACAGAGCGACAGAGACACAGAGAGACAGAGAGAGACAGGGACAGAGAGAGGGACAGAGAGAGAGAGAGACAGAGAGAGACAGAAAGACAGATAGAGAGAGGGACAGAGAGAGAGACAGAGACAGAGAGACAGAGAGAGAGGGACAGAGACAGAGAGACAGAGACAGAGACAGACAGACAGAGAGAGACAGAGAGAGTCTCAGTATGTAGTTTAGGCTGGTCTTGAACTCAGTCTGTAGCCCAGGCTGGCCTCAAACTCATGACAATTCTCCTGTCTCAGCCTCCTGAGTACTGGGACTAAAGGCTTGCACTACCACACTTGACTGTTTTTGTTTTTTATCTCTTGTTTTATAGTGAGATCTCGAGAGAGGATTCACTAAGCTGTCCAGGTTGGACTTGAAGTTCTGATCCTCCTGCTTTAACCTCTCAAACTACCATGATTACGGTGTGTGCCACTATGTTATCTAAGTCTCTTGTTTTAAACGCAGTGGTGCGGATACTGACCTTGCCTTTCTTTATCCTCTAGACATTTGTGTACTTGTTGATTCTTTCCTCTTGTACAGTGCCACGACGTAAGTCAGGCAGCAGTCAGCCAGTTTGGTAAGTGGATGGATGATCTGCAAAAGAACCGAATCAGCAGCCTCTGGAGTTTAAATCCTGCTGTGGGAGGCTGGGCTTAGTTCAGAGAGGTAGCCTAGCGTGCTTGAGGCTCTGAGTTTGAACCCCAGCTTGGAAAGATGATAAGAAGATAGATAGATAAACAGCATTGCATAACTCCCATTCCAGTTACCTGATGTGAGCATGAGCTGTCCCTGTTGTGTGTCCCAGGACAAGAAGAATTCTTGCTCTCCAGGTGGTGATCCAGTCCCAAGACCCTCCAGGGACTTCAAATAGTGCCCGACACAGAGAGGCTTGAGAGAAGCTCAGCTTGCTCATGAGGAAGAGCTCAGGGCTTGTTGATTGACCCCAAAACCATCCAGAGCTTTCTTGCTCCTCCCGAGTGTGGGGCGTGGAGTAGAGGGAGACAACAGATTGAACAGCGGGAAGCAGCCCAGATCCTGGAGGTGGGACATAGGCCAGGTCTGAGGCCATGGATCTCGCTGTCCTGATTTTGAGGAGAGGATTCCTAAGGCTGGGCCGGGGTGGGCAAGGGGTCGAGGGACTGAAATAGGGGAGAAGGGGCCCGACACTTGCCTAGCCAGCTTTTGTGCTCCCGGTTTCTCCTCTGGGTGGGCAGAGTTTGGAAGGCATCACGGAGAGGGACTCAGCAATGCACAGTGCTCAGAAGCTAACAAAGACCCGCTGTGTAGTCTGAGGCTGCGACGCGGGTGCGGTGGGCATGGACCCCGGAAAGCTGGTTTTCCTGCTTCCCAGCGGCCAGGCCCTGAGCTGGAGGAGGATGCAGGGGGATGGCCCCTGGGTCAGCAGCTCCACTCCAGTCTTTTTACACCAGGGAGGAAGGAACCTGCGTCCAGAGGGCAGACCGGCTCTCAGCTCTCCATGCTGGCGTCTCTGATGGGGAGATGCTCACAGCCGTGCTGCAAGCAGAGAGAAGGGGGCTGTGTTTCACTCCATCCGTACCCAGAACGGGCCGACGGCCGGGCTGTGCCACCCAGATCCTGTTTACAAAGGGCAGGAGAACGTTCCAGGTCCTGAGTTGTGTTTCAGTGAAGGCAAACTGAGCCTGAGGAGGAATGAAAAGAATTTTGTTGCTTTGGGAGCATTTAGTACAAACCACACTTCGCTTTGTTTCCGGATTTTCAAAAGGTTTCATCTAGCTTCATTATTAAAAAAAATCTAATTACACAATATAGTAATGTTTTGTTTTTGTCAATGATTTATACATTAGAGGGCCAGGGATTTAGCTCGGTGATGTAAGCACCTGTCTGGCAAGCACAAGGTCATGAGTTCAATCCTCGGTATCAAACCAGTAATAATAAATAAATATTATAGCAAAGGCCCTTTGATCAGGACCCACAATCTTGCTCCCTATGCTTCCCAGAGAAATCCACTGCGAGATTAGTGAGTCACCTTCCCCGTGTATTTCTTGTTGGCTATACCACAGAAAAGTTGTCCATATATTTGCTTTACTTTTATGTAAAGGATATCATGCTCTTATTCCAGTAATTTACATTTTTATTTTATTATTTTAAATCACATCTTATGTAATTGAAAAACATCAGCGAAGATCAGTTGCAAAGTTACGATGTGCACTAATGTGACTTGTGCACCATCTTTTCTCTTACACACATCTTGCAAATTGGTAATCACAGTGTGCATATAATTTTGTGGCACGCCTTTTCATTTAGCACGTTCCTATAAACATCGGAGGTTTCCGCCATGAGATGTCAGGGATTGAAATGGTTCTTTTTCTGCCTCTTACTGCTTCCAAAATGTTAAAATAATTATTAGGGTTACCATGTAGTCATCAAATCCAATCAGTGTTGAGTGAAGAACCTCTCCTGTTCAGTGTTTGGCTGTAGCCTCTAAGGAACAAAGGAGACAAAGTCTTTATGGGGTCTACTTCCTAACGGGGAAAGGAGCACAATGCAAATACATAAGGGACAAAAGAGGACAGTGGATAGTGTATCAGAGGGCATGCACATTGCTAAGCAAGCTAGCCCAAGAGAGGAGGAGGACAAGGAAGGCTGGAGCTGTCCGGAAAGGCTTCACATTTACAAGAGGACTTTTGACAAAGCTTTGAGCCTGGAGGACATGTGGGCACAGAAGTGTCCAGGCAGACTCATTAGCAAGTACAAAGATCTGAGGTTTGTGCAAAGGAAGCCACAGACTGAATAAAGATGACAGCAAAAAGCAGGTGGGGTCAGACCTCGTGGAACGTCACAGGCCCAGGAGGGACTTGGCTTTTTCATTAAATTGTTAAGTACCAGAAGATTCGGGGCAGGAATGAGGTGGCACAACTTCCGTGTAAGGAGGCTCAGTCTGAATACTGTGTGGAGAGAAGCAAACAACAAACACAGGACACTGTGAGTGTGACTGATCCAGGTAGGAGACAATGGTGACTCGGACCAGGAGGGCTACAGAGGAAGTGGGCAGATGCCGGGGCAGTGAGGGCAGCACCCAGGACTTTGTCTAGTCCTTATTGTCTAGTCCTTACTAGCCCTGAACCCACTATGCAGCCCTGGTTGGTCTTGAACTCTTGATCTTCCCGCCTCAGCCTCTGAAATGCTGAGATGACAGGGATATGCCACTACGACAGTGAGCAAGGACTTCGGATGGGTGAATGATTCCAAGGACTTCGGCCTGAGTGGCCAGAAGAAAACAAGGTAGGGAAAGCCTTAGAACAGCATTAGGGACAGAGTCACGAGTTCAGGTTCTGACATGTTACACTTAGGACGTGAGATGCACACAGCCCACCTGGCAGTGTGCATCGGAGAGAACAGTTCAGAGGACAAGAATGAGCTCAGGACCGGCCAGCACAGGGGTATTTATGGCCAGGAAGTGAGTGCAGGCAGAGAGGGGATTGAGGATGGACTAAGGCACATCCGGGGTCAAAGGTTACAGAATGATGTCAATTCATTTAAGCCTCACAACTCTGAGGAAATTGCTATTCTTTCCATCATTTAACAAGTGATGCAACTTGGGGTATAAAGAGGTTAAATCATCAGTCTAAACCTATACCACGGAACTGGGATTTGAATGACCATTCTGGCTGTAAGAACTCGCTTAACTCCTGGGCTATGTGGGTGCATTCTGTCAAATGAGCATGCTTTATAGGTCAGGAAGCTGAGTCTTAGTTTAGATAATCTGTTTTTCTTGGTGGCAGAACACCCAGGGGCACTCTATTTTTATTTTGAAACAGAGTTTAAATATCCTAGGTTGGGCTGAAACTTGTGATATGCTTGTCTCAGTCTTCAGAGTGCTGGAATTCCAGGCACTGGGTAAAGTGATCTTGGAAGTCTCTTGGTTCTAACATGCTGCACTTCTGAACCTCAGTCCTCTGCTCTCTCTCCTAGGGCTCAGCACAAGGTGGGGCTCTGAGCAGAAGGTGGGAAACTTGAGTTCCTCCAGTCCTCCAGTAATGCAGCTCCATCAAGTTACGGTTACCCTCAGTCTCCTTTGAAGGAGAATTGGGGGTGGTCCTAAATCATTTGTACAGAAGCATTTATTGAGCACCTACTTGGTGATGCCATAGGAGTCTGGGTCACACAGTAGGCTAAGACTGTGAGGGTTGGGAGTGGTAGGGGGCTGCTCCAGTAATAGCTGCTGGTCCCCAGACTTCCACGCAGGGATGCCATAAGTCCTTCTTTAGCACCAGTGTGGTGGTGCCCTCTCCCCAAACTCTCCATCCCCAGCAGCTGTAATTGGTCTCCACAGCAACACACAAACCTCTCAGATTCAGAAAGGGAACTGCATGCAAAACTGGCCAAACAAAAACCATAAATGGTTCTAAATACTCCTAGTAATACGTTTTACGTGAGACTAAGCTCTCCTGTTCAAGATGGCACAGCTACAACCTTGCTTCTCAAAGTGAAGTCCACAGAGAAAGGCAACTCCTCCAGACTACTGACTCAGTCTGCTGTTAAAAGTAGCCGGGTAAACTGGGGCATGGTGGTGCACGCCTGTGACCCCAGCACTCTTTGAGGGTCACAAGTTTGAGCTCTGCCTGGGCAATTTAACAACATAGTGAGATCCTGTCTCAAAATAAAATATACCAAAACAGCTGAGCACCAAAAAACATGAATAAATAAATAAATACTTGAAAATCCTCAGGTGACAGTGTGCACATGACAGTTTGGGAAGCATTGAACCAAAAGAAAATTTAGGTGCTAAGTGTCCTGGACAAGACATTTGAGACCTTCATGAAGAAAACTACAACTTCCTTGAGCGCAAGTGAAAACCAAGTCCTTTGTGGAGTGACTCAATTGGTGAGGGCATCAATTCTTCAAAATATGGAGTGGCTCACACTGATGTGTGAAGGTCATCTGAAAGAATAAATGAGCAAGCACCGGGTCCCCACCCTTTTCTTTTCTTTTCTTTTCCTTTCTTGTCTTTTCGAGTTACACAGTTCTGGCTGGCTTTGAACTCACTTGCTAGCTTCAAGCTTGAAGCTGTCCTCCTGCCTCAGCCTCCTGAATGCTAGGATTGCAGATGTGTGCCACCAGGCTCTGCCTTTTCTTTTCCTTGCCTTTTTCCTCTTTCTTTCTTTTTTTTTTTTTTTTTTTTTTTTTTTGAGAGACTGTGTCACACTGTGCAATCCAGGCTGGCCTTGAACTGATGGCAATCCTCCTGCCTCAGCCTCCTGACAGCTCTCCTGTGTTTGTTTTTTATCTGCGGTGCCTGAGATCTAACTCACGACCATGCACTTGCAAGGCAGGTGCTTATGCCGCTGAGCTAAATCCCCAGCCCCGGCTCTCCTTATATTTATAAAGATAAGAATAAGGAGATGAGGGTCAGGGATTTAGTTAAGTAGCACAAGTGCCTGTCTGCAAGTACGAGGTCACGAGTTTGATCTCTGGTACAAAAAAAAAAGAAGAAGAAGGGGGTGAGATTCGCCCTGTTAGAAATGGTGCTCAGGGCCGGGATGCAGCTCAGTGGTAGAGTGCTTGCTTAGCATGTATAAAGTTCTGGGTTTCATCCTCAGCACTGGGGAAAAAAGACCCTAAATAACATTGGAGGTTCTAGAAGAGGAGGATGAGTCCGTGTTGGCGTGTCATTCTATTAACTGAGCCATGTCTCCCTAAAACTCTTATGCGGGAGCCTCAACCCCTTCCCCACTGCAGAGCACAAACGAAAGACTGGGGAGCCATCTCCAAGCCAGAGAGAGGCCCCTCACCAGACTCCCAACATGCCTGTGCCGGGACCCTGGCTGGCAGGCCTCCAGAGTCCTGAGAAGACAAATTCCTGTTGTTTGAGACAGGCTGGCTGACGTCTTTTGCTGTGAGTGGATTAAGTCACCTCGGGAAAGCTTCTTAACATCCGGATCTCTGTTTCCTCATCCAATAAAATGGGGGTAAGAGTATCATTTATGGCCTTGTTATGAGCGCTGAATGAAATACTTAAATCAAGCACTTAGCACAGTGCTTTATCTTTCTCCGATGTTCAGTGAATGCCAGTGCCAATGAGAACTATGGTACTGGGGCAAGACTCACAGGAAAAAGATCAGCGGGATACAGCAGATGACTCAGAGACACACTTAGCATTTCTAGAAGTTCCAGGAGAGAAGGGGGTGGCCGTGGCAACACACAAACCTCTCAGATTCAAAAAGGGAGTTCCTCAGTGTTGTGTGATTTCCCCACACCTAACCGATGCAGGGTCACCCTAAGTGCTCACAGTATTTCCTTGCTGCCTGAACTAGAATTTAATACCCGCTAAAGAAGGACTCATAAATTAACATCATGAGAAAGGACTATTCTTTCAACAGCACTGGCAAAATTGCTTCAGTGTTGGATTCAAAAATCAGATTTTATCATCTTATTCTATAAAAGGGCTTGCAAACAATTTTGACCATTACCTACTGTGAGAAATATGTAAGGCATCCCAGCCTGGGAAACACACTCATAATTATATGAGGTTTGATGCAAAAGTACTAATACTGTGAATGTTTAAATTAAAAAAATGTATCACCATCAAGGACAGATCGCCGCTGGCTCCCTTCCACACACTCCCCCTCCCCTCCAGCCTGCTTCTCCCCTGTGCTCGCAGCTTTCTGAAGCAGGTCTGGACATCCTCTTTCTGTAGTTGTCCTGTCCATTACGAATATTTACCTTTGATGGTAATTTTGACTTTGGGGAAGACCAGAAGTCACTCGGTGCCAGATCCTAAGAATAAGGCGGATGAGCACACAC